TGAAGACTGATTCCAGTCCTGTTCATCCTGACATGGCTACTACTCTGGGGGCTGCACCTTGACTTGGCTGTGTTTCACCTGACTCTGATCAGTCATCAGCAGGGTATTTAAACCCAGCCTCGCCCTGTGCTCAGTGTCAAGTCTTTGATCCTGTTTGTTCTAGTGTTCCTGTTTCATCGCTTCATTATTGACCCCGGCTTCCTGACTCGTTTATTCTGACTTCTGGCATCCCTTGACTTCGGCTACTCCTCGTTGTTCCTGTCCTCTGGCATCCTTTGAACTCGGCTATCCCTCTACCATCCTGCTGGTTCAGTCCTTGCCTGTCCTGTGTATTGGTACTGCATCCTGCACAGCCCCCGTGCATAGACCCACAGGCCAGGTGAATTCTTACCTGACCACCTCGGCCTGTGGCTATCTGCAAGGGTGAGCATCATATCTGCGCTACAGACTCCCAACTCAGGTAAGACCCTGACATAAGACTTGACCATTATGGAGTCCGCAGAGATGTGCTCACCCTTGACCCAGCGTGTGTCCAGCCTGGCCCAGACTGTTTCGGAGCTGCAGCAAGAAATTTTATTCCTTAAAGGCGCAGTACATCCAGCCCCGGAACCAGCTTTTCCTGAACCGTTTGTCATCATGCCCGATCGATTTGATGGTAGCCGCACATCCTTTCAGTCTTTCAAGATGGATTGTGAGGTGTTGTTTTCTTTAAAGCCTCTAACATATGCCACAGATTTTATCAAGGTCCGAGCGGCTATCAACCTGTTGTCTGGACGCATCAAAGTTTGGGCTCACCAAATGTTGCAGACGAAGAGTCCTGTCCTGGTCAGCTGGGAATCCTTTAGTACTGCTATGGACTCACAATGTAAGACCACTGTGGCCAAGTCAGCTCCACGTACTAAAAAATCTCAGATTCTTCCTAACCAAGTAACCGAGTACCACCACTACGCCCCAGAGATGCCTCCTTATGTTCCAGCTTCCAGGAAATCTCCAGAGGTATCCGGTGTTCCACTTGACCCTGTGGAACCTATGCAATTAGGACTTGTCCACTGCAAAGTGACACCTAAGGAAAGAGACCGAAGGAGAAGCTATGGCCTGTGTTACTACTGTGGAGAAAAAGGGCATTTCATCACGCTTTGTCCTGTTCGCCCTCCTAGACCTCCAGCTCTCCGACTTGGTACTAGTTTCCTTCGCCCTGTGTACACCGCATACCAGCCTAAAAAGCCAAATAGAAGCCGTTGTGCTTGCACATGCTTGGCCTCCGCGAGAAAACCTCCATCCCCTGCTCCAGAGCCTCCTGCATCTACTCCCGAAGTTGCTTCCTGTGATACCACCACTACTTCCTGCCCGCCCGAAGAGGTTTTACCTGTGGATTGTGCCGTTGCTTCTAATGGCACTATAGTCCGTAAAGAAGACCTTGAATGTTCGAAAAAGCATTGTTAGCTGCGAACACTGCTCCTGCCAAAGTTTTGGAAGTGCTTGCCACCTGTACCCGGAACCTAAAAGACCTGGACAATTCTCCAGCCGTACCAGAAGCTGGTACTGCGGACTCCCAAGCTGTAAAGGGAATCCTTGCTGGGGAGTTTGACTATGGGGACTCACTGGATTCAGATAGTGACCCTGGAGAGGTGTACTATGCTGACACCCATTCACGCCCGGAGGTCGTTTTTAAAGGGGGGGGTACTGTCACGGTTCTCACCTGATAGACAGACGGCAAGACGTGGTCGCTCTTGGAGTTCCCAACAGGGGACTTGAACCGGGGATCTTCTCAGTCCTGGTCCTGCTTTCTACCTCTGAGCCACAGCAGCTATTTACAGTGAAGACTGATTCCAGTCCTGTTCATCCTGACATGGCTACTACTCTGGGGGCTGCACCTTGACCTGGCTGTGTTTCACCTGACTCTGATCAGTCATCAGCAGGGTATTTAAACCCAGCCTCGCCCTGTGCTCAGTGTCAAGTCTTTGATCCTGTTTGTTCTAGTGTTCCTGTTTCATCGCTTCGCATTATTGACCCCGGCTTCCTGACTCGTTTATTCTGACTTCTGGCATCCCTTGACTTCGGCTACTCCTCGTTGTTCCTGTCCTCTGGCATCCTTTGACCTCGGCTATCCCTCGACCATCCTGCTGGTTCAGTCCTTGCCTGTCCTGCGTATTGGTACTGCATCCTGCACAGCCCCCGTGCACAGACCCACAGGCCAGGTGAATTCTTACCTGACCACCTCGGCCTGTGGCTATCTGCAAGGGTGAGCATCATATCTGCGCTACAGACTCCCAACTCAGGTAAGACCCTGACAATGAAATGCACTCACAGGATAAGAATGGTAATAGCGCTCAAGGGTGTCTCCCCCGGTGTTGTTGGGGGGCTCTCTTTTTCCCTCCTGTTGACCCGGTAGGGTGTAAAACAGGACTTCAGTAGGTAGTAAAAAAAAAAAGGTCACCAGCTTTATTGAAAGGTGAACAATCACCCATAAATAATAAAATATATAAGGTCCTACGTGTTTCGTTCTCAGTACTGGAACTTCCTCAGGGACCATGCAAGTTAAAATCAAATACAAACAGCAATGACAGTATAAAAGCAGCCGATGATGTAAAAACAAAAGAATACACAAAACATAGTGTAGATCTGTATGACAAGAATTATGTGCGCTGTAATTAGACGCACTCACGAGAATGTCGTAAAAGCGGGCATTCATAGGGTGCCTCCCCAGATGGCAGTGGGGGGCTGTAATCCGCTTCCTTAATCAATGTTCACCACTGAGATACAGGACTCCAGATGGTAAGTTGAGAAATATCAGCTTTTGTTGTATATAGCATGTAAAGTAAAATCCTATGCATTTTGTACTTTGACTTGGGACTTGCTCAGGGACCATGCAGTTAGAACAAAATCACAAAGTAACAAATGCCAAAAAAGGAGCCTAACACCCCCCACCCACAAGTCCCTTTAAATAGGGCTAATCCCTAAGTTCATTGTTGATCCAGTGGGTGTCTTCTTTCTTCCTACTGGACTCCTGTCCTGCTGATACAATTTTCCTCCGTTCTTCGCAGCTGTTACTTGTATGTCCGCCGATACAACCAGAAATGAGGTGCGTACTTCTATGCGTTTCATCGACAGGCTAGACAAAAAAACAAAACTGAAAAACTATAGTGTATTTGTCAAACTGTCTTAACACTAAATGTCCCTAGAATTAAACTATACACCTGAATTTAAGATCCAAGATGGCAGTGCGTTCCACCTTAGGATAAGGACAGCCCGTGAGCCCCCTCTGGTGGTTGTCAGGAAGATGAAAATTATACAAAGAAAATAATGGTTGTTTAAAGGGACACTCCAGGCACCCAGACCACTTCTGCCCATTGGAGCCGTCTGGGTGCCAGCTCCCACTACTCTTAACCCTTCAAGTGTAATTATTGTAGTTTTTTATAAACTGCAATAATTACCTTGCAGGGTTAACTCCTCCTCTAGTGGCTGTCTACTACACTGTATGAGGACCTCCAGCGTCACTCATTTCTTCTTAGGAAAGCACTGAAAAGAATTTTCAATGCTTTCCTATGGGGAGTTCTAATGCGCATGCGCGGCATTGTCTACCCGGCCAGTGGGCGGGATCAGTCTCGCCCACCGGCCGATGCAATCACAAGGAGGAGTTACTGAAGGGGTTTTCACCCCTTCAGCAACCGGGGATTGGGGGGTGGGAGGGAGAGGGGACCTGCAGTGCCAGGAAAACTGATTGTTTCCCTGGCACTGGAGGTTCCCTTTAAAGATGGTAGGGCTCTATCTACCAAAAGTTGGAGTTTGTGGATCTTGTAGGGCATCTGAGATTTTTGAAATAAAATTGTGGACAAGTTTTGCAATGGACCGGAACCGAGTGTGTTGTGACACCCTTTTTAATGTTTATATGTTCCAGAAAAATTACTTTGAGGATTCTCTTTGTACGACCAACATACTGTTTTCAAAAATCTAATTGAAAAGGTTATGCCTTATTGGAGAGGGGGTGACCACATAAAAAAACAATGTGAAACCTACTGGATCCACAATCTCCACGCTCTGGAACCTAGGGGCTTTAATGTGGATATACATCTGGTTTGTTTCTTATAAATTTAAGACTGCACTTATTCATTTTTTTTTCTCCCCTTTGTACTTTTTTCTTTTCATTTGTTTCTTCTTTTTCCCTTTCCCCTCTCATGTGGATAATGTTAAATAGTTATAGTCACTACTAAAATTGGATCAACAAAAAGGGAGCGGGGGATAGGGTAGGAATGTGTGGCTTCTCCGTAGTAACCTTATTCTATTATAATTGATTAAAGTAAAAAATTGTTAACAGGTTCATATATCACTTGTCACGTTTTTATATATTAATTTCTTTATGTGAAATTTACATCTGATATATTATATGTCACTTGTAAGGGCTAAAATACCTTATTTGGAGGGTGCGCATTCCAGTTTTCCAACTTGGAATTTTCACAGCTGGTCATCATGCACCCATGTCCTATTTGCAGGGCCGGACTGGGAATTAAAAGCAGCCCTGGAAAAAAATTATTTACCAGCCCCATAATGCGTCGCGCCAGCATAGTGTGCAGATACAGAGTTAGAACAGATAACTTAAAATTAAAAAGTACTTCAACGTAAAAAGCGCACTCATAGGCTTCAAAATAAACAAAAGTACAGATTTATTTTAAGCAGATGTGCCTTTGCATGTAATCAATGTTTCAGTCCAACTACCATGACATATTAAGGAAAGCTTGTTAATGGGACTGAAATGGTGAATGTATGTAGGGCACAACTGTAAATAAATTGACGTTATCTTGTTTATTTTGAAGTCCTGCGGGTGCGCTCTTCACTTTAAATATGTTATTGTGTTGGAGTATGCACCTAGCAACAATACTGGGCACTTATAGATTATTTAAAGAAATAATCCATGCACAATAACCACTACTGCTCTGTGGCTGTAACCGCGGCAACACTCTGTACTCAGGCGAGAATTGCCCTTTGCACCCCCTGGATCCACCAGTGATATATACAGCCCCTCTGTGTGCCTTTTTGTCTCCCCCCAGTCCCTCTGTATGTTTCTTTCTCCCCCTCACTGCTCCTCTGTGTCCATGTCTCCCCTCTCCTTCCCAGTCTCTCTCTTCCCCCTCTGCCTCTTTCTCCCCCTCCCCTTGTGTGTCTCTCCTTTCTCCCTCTGTGTCACTCTCTTCCCCTCTGTCTCTTTCTCCCCCCCTTTCCCTGTGTCTCTCTCTCCCCCTCTACCATCTCTCTATTCCCCCTCTTTCTCCCCTTGTGTCTCACTCTCCCCCTCTGTTTCTTTCTCCCTCATTTCCCTGTGGCACTCTTATTCCCCCTCTGTCTCTCTCTATTCTCCCACTGTCTCTTTCTTCCCCTGCATCTATCTATTCACCATCTCTCTGTTTTGTGTCTCTATATTTCCTTCCCCCCCACCCATCCCCATTTACCTGAGAGGAGTCATGGGGGCCGGCCGCGTTCCAAACTGGAGCCGCCAGGCCGGGTGGCAGCCTCGCCGGTCCGGCGGCACTCCTGTCACTGATGCTGAGGGTTGAAGGAAGAGGGAGCATCTCTACCATGCTCCCCTGCGGTGCAGCATACTGTGCTGGGAATTGTGGGAACCGTGAGAGAGCACGGTAGAGAGACATGCTCCCTCTTCCTTCAGCCCTCAGCATCAGTGACAGGAGTGCGGCCGAGGCTGCCACCCGGCCCGGCGGCTCCAGCGTGGAACGCGGCCGGACCCCAATGAGTGTGCCACAGGACCGGCCACCCGGTGGCACATACCTGCGCAGCCCCCAGATGCAGCAGCCCACCGGGAAATTTTCCGGTATCCCGGTGGGCCAGTCCGGCCCTGCCTATTTGGAACATTTTTTAAGCCGGCCAATGTAATTTACATCCATCAAACCAAATATTTTTTTAAAGTAGACAACCCAAGATATTCAATATAGGGTAGGTCTAATATTTTTTAGTAGCCACTTAGTCACAAACACTGGCCAAAGTTAACATTTATATTTGCTTGCGTGTTAAAAATGCAAAAAACTATTATGAACCCTAACTTTGGCCAGTGATTGTGACTAAGTGGCTACTAAAAATACTGTACATACCCCATTTGCAATATCTTGAGTTGTCTTCTTTTGACAATGGTATGCCGTCATGGGGGTAATTCTTATTCCTGGGCTAGCATACGCTCTCAAAGGCAACATAACCAATCTGGCAAATTTCAATGTGACCCTGTAACTTTCAAAAACACTAAAAAACCTGTAGATGGGGGGTACTGTTATACTCGGTGGCAGGATCCCATCCTGACAAACAATACTTTTTTTCTGTTAATTCTGTTCCTTTAAAAACCAAGTTCCTGCACTGATTTTATTATTCCCACTAGTGGCCTCCCTAACCACTAGCAGAGATTCCCTTCTCATCCTCACCTGCCTGGACTAATTTAGATCCTATAAAAGGTTACACCCAACTCCCCTGCTCTACTTGACATTGAAGTTGATGATTGCCTGAAAGACTGCATAGCCTGGATCCTGTGTTAAAACCTGTGGACGTACCTTATTGGCTTCAAAACCTGCTTTACTCACTAACCTGCTCCATACCAGCCTGAACACCTCTACATTCCTGCTTGACTTCCAACTGGCTTAATTCTATACTGGGCTTTAATGTGTTATTACTTTGTGGCTACCTGCGTTACTCCTACATTCCAGATAATATTGGCATCTACGATAAAAGACCTGTTACTACAGTACAACCTCTAATCCACAGAGACTGAACAGCTACAAACCAATATAAGTAACCTTTTATATTTCTGTTTAGTTATGTTTTCCTGTAACTTATTATCTCCTTAATAGGCTTTAATTCTCTTGCTTTATTTTTCACAGGTTTACCTGTTTCTTTATATCCTGTTCTGGGGCATATTGCCTAAGTCCTCTTTTCTGTTTCCCTCCAGTTTGTACCTGTAATTTCTCTAATCTTCAATCTCCTACCAATAACTTCATTTATAGGTTTACCTTTTTAACACTTTTGGGCTTATTGTCTAAACCCTTTATTTCATAGCCTAGTTACTAGTTACAGATATTCGGTTCTGTCTCCTATCTCTCTCTCTTTCCTATAACTTCAGTTATAGGATTTCTTGTTAATACTATAATATCTAAGATCTCAAAGACCTTGACGTTAACCCCAGTTTCAGTCTCATCCCTGACCTGCACAAGATCATGACACTCGGGAGACTTCGCTGAACACAAATATTTGTTTCAAAACAGTAAAACTTATTACAACAATGGTACCATCAGTAAAAATGCTGTTTTGTGTGTGAAAAATGCAAAACACTTCACTTTCACTGACCATATCATTGCTGTGATGTTTTGAAACCCTATTATTTGTGTTTAGCGAAATCCCCTGGAGTATAGGGTTTGGGGTGTCTTGGAAAGTTACAGGGTTAAATACAGTGCTAGCAAATTACATTATCTGGACTTTTGGCCTGGGTTGTCAGGGAGGTCCCTCAAATTGCAATCAATAAACGAATTATGTAAAACTATTACATAAACAAGCACTTAGAATTTAAATATATATACATATTTATTAAGATATCTTGTATATCTGACGTCTACGTTTAAATTTATGAAATTATTCATGTAATTATGTATCTAGGTGTATTTTGATATAATTATATTATTTTTTTTATACATATATATATATATACGTGTGTAATTTTACTCAGTATTTTTTAGCCTCAACTTTTTTTTTTTTTTTTTTTATTGAAATTATTGTTTAAAGTTGACAAACATTTAACAAGCATGTTAAGCACGATAAATATGACAATATATAACAAGACAATTTGCTTACTTTAAAATAAGGTATATTACATAGTTAGGCAAGATTTAAATTAATTTATCATTATAGTAATTATAAAGTTTATGACCTTAAACTGTGTCTTTTATCTTTCGGATCCACTGTACATAATGATGTATGTGTTCAAAGGACCACTCTAGGCACCCAGACCACTTCAGTTTAATGAAGTGGTCTGGGTGCCAGGTCCAGCTAGGGTAACCCATTTTTTCATAAACATAATCGTTTCAGAGAAACTGCTATGTTTATGAATGGGTTAAGCCTTCCCCCTATTTCCTCTAGTGGCTGTCTCATTGACAGCCACTAGAGGCGCTTGCGTGCTTCTCACTGTGATTTTTCACAGTGAGAGCACGCCAGCGTCCATAGGAAAGCGTTATGAATGCTTTCCTATGTGACCAGCTGAATGAGCGCGCAGCTCTTGCCGCGCGTGCGCATTCAGCCAACGGAGAGGAGGCAGAGAGCTCCCCGCCCAGCGATGGAAAAAGGTACGTTTTTAACCCCTTTCTCCCTTCCAGAGCCGGGCGGGAGGGGGACCCTGAGGGTGGGGGCACCCTCAGGGCGCTATAGTGCCAGGAAAACAAATGTTTTCCTGGCACTATAGTGGTCCTTTAAGATTGTTATTAGAATAAGCGACCCCTCTCTCCATTTCTAACTAATATATAAGTTGTTTTATTAAATAATAAAATATCTGGAGTTGATGTCTGTTTTCACACTCTTGCTATTTACATTTTTTTTTTTTTTCCCCCCATTTCTGCAAAACTAGTAAAGTCAGAATTTGTAGCATTTTTGGTAAATTGTTCCAATTGATATGAAGCAAGCCATTTTCTGGGGATTTCTTTAATTTTATATTAAAGAGAGACAAAATATGATCTATTGAATCCCAGAATGTTATTATTTTTGGGCAATTCCACCAGATACAAAGCATAGTTCCTTCGTGGGCTAGACATCTAGGTTTTTACGATTTCCTTCATTCTTAATAAGAGAATATTTAAGGAACCCTCTCACTCTCAGATAGTTAAAGATTTCTTTATCAGATATATTTAATTTTGTTTTCAAATCTTGGAAAGAGAATAATTTAGCATCTTGTATAAGATCTTCTTCTATATAAATTTCTTTAGGGACCCTCCAGGTACTGAGATTTAAGTCAGGGATGATTATTTTTTTTTTTTTTTGCCATTCTTCCATAAGATGAAGTACAGTAAATTAATTTTGTTGCAAGGAGTCTTTAAAGTTAGTAACCTCATCCCAAATAAGAAGGGAAAAATCCTTTTCATTAGTTCTAAAAGACTCAATTCTATACCAGGCTTGCTTTCTGGCCTCTTGAATATTAAATTTATGAATATGAATGATTATGTTTGCTTTATATATTTCTCTGATTAATGGGAGAGCCATACCTCCTTTGTTGACTTTTTTTTTTTCTTAAATTTGCGATTTAATTCTTTTCCAGATGTAGTTGGAGAAAGAATGATGGAGCATATCCAGCCATGGTTTAGGGAATTTTAATGGGATCATGTTAAATAAATATGCCCATTTGGGCAATAAAATTTAATTTAACAAAAAAAATACTTAGTATGATGTTTTATATTTATAGATATAATATATGTATATATCAATATACTTTTTTTTTATTTTTTATTTTTTATTTACATGTTTTGCTCTTTTCACCAGCAGGGGGACTGCCTGTTGCTGCTCTTTCAGAGCAATCACATAGCCACTGGGGCTCCTAATTTTTTTTTTTTTTTTTTTTTTTTTTATTTACATGTTTTGCTCTTTTCACCAGCAGGGGGACTGCCTGTTGCTGCTCTTTCAGAGCAATCACATAGCCACTGGGGCTCCTAATTTGCAGTAAAGAGGAAGACCGATCACCGGCAGGGTAACGACGACGATCGGGTAAGTACATAGGGAGTGTGTGTGTGTGTGTGTGTGTGTGTGTGTGTGTGTGTAACCGGGAGTTGTAGTTCTCCTTCTTACACACTCTATGCAAGAGAGAGAGGAGGGAACCACAGATCCCAGCAAGCACTGCGTGTGGCAGGTCACTGGATTGGCAGCCATGGCTGTGGTTGCTGACAGGGACTATAACCACTTATTACATGCCCCTCACAGTGTAACCCTGACTGACAGGGACTATAACCACTTATTACACGCCCTCACTCACAGTGTAACCCTGACTGACAGGGACTATAACCACTTATTACACGCCCTCACTCACAGTGTAACCCTGACTGACAGGGACTATAACCACTTATTACACGCCCTCACTCACAGTGTAACCCTGCCTGACAGGGACTATAACCACTTATTACATGCCCTCACTCACAGTGTAACCCTGCCTGACAGGGACTATAACCACTTATTACACGCCCTCACACAGTGTAACCCTGACTGACAGGGACTATAACCACTTATTACATGCCCTCACTCACAGTGTAACCCTGACTGACAGGGACTATAACCACTTATTACACGCCCTCACAATGTAACCCTGACTGACAGGGACTATAACCACTTATTACACGCCCTCACTCACAGTGTAACCCTGACTGACAGGGACTATAACCACTTATTACACGCCCTCACTCACAGTGTAACCCTGCCTGACAGGGATTATAACCACTTATTACACGCCCTCACTCACAGTGTAACCCTGCCTGACAGGGACTATAACCACTTATTACATGCCCTCACTCACAGTGTAACCCTGACTGACAGGGACTATAACCACTTATTACACGCCCTCACAGTGTAACCCTGACTGACAGGGACTATAACCACTTATTACACGCCCTCACTCACAGTGTAACCCTGTCTGACAGGGACTATAACCACTTATTACACGCCCTCACTCACAGTGTAACCCTGCCTGACAGGGACTATAACCACTTATTACACGCCCTCACACAGTGTAACCCTGACTGACAGGGACTATAACCACTTATTACATGCCCTCACTCACAGTGTAACCCTGACTGACAGGGACTATAACCACTTATTACACGCCCTCACTCACAGTGTAACCCTGTCTGACAGGGACTATAACCACTTATTACACGCCCTCACTCACAGTGTAACCCTGCCTGACAGGGACTATAACCACTTATTACATGCCCTCACTCACAGTGTAACCCTGCCTGACAGGGACTATAACCACTTATTACACGCCCTCACACAGTGTAACCCTGACTGACAGGGACTATAACCACTTATTACATGCCCTCACTCACAGTGTAACCCTGACTGACAGGGACTATAACCACTTATTACACGCCCTCACAGTGTAACCCTGACTGACAGGGACTATAACCACTTATTACACGCCCTCACTACAGTGTAACCTCCTGACTGACAGGGACTATAACCACTTATTCTCACAATGTAACCCTGACTGACAGGGACCATAACCACTTATTACACCTCACCACAGTGTAACCCTGACTGACAGGGACTATAACCACTTATTACACGCTTCCCTCACTCACAGTGTAACCCTGACTGACAGGGACTATAACCACTTATTACACGCCCTCACTCACAGTGTAACCCTGACTGACAGGGACTATAACCACTTATTACACGCCCTCACTCACAGTGTAACCCTGACTGACAGGGACTATAACCACTTATTACACGCCCTCACTCACAGTGTAACCCTGCCTGACAGGGATTATAACCACTTATTACACGCCCTCACTCACAGTGTAACCCTGCCTGACAGGGACTATAACCACTTATTACATGCCCTCACTCACAGTGTAACCCTGACTGACAGGGACTATAACCACTTATTACACGCCCTCACAGTGTAACCCTGACTGACAGGGACTATAACCACTTATTACACGCCCTCACTCACAGTGTAACCCTGACTGACAGGGACTATAACCACTTATTACACGCCCTCACTCACACTGACAGGGACTATAACCACTTATTACATGCCCTCACTCACAGTGTAACCCTGACTGACAGGGACTATAACCACTTATTACACGCCCTCACTCACAGTGTAACCCTGACTGACAGGGACTATAACCACTTATTACACGCCCTCACTCACAGTGTAACCCTGCCTGACAGGGATTATAACCACTTATTACACGCCCTCACTCACAGTGTAACCCTGCCTGACAGGGACTATAACCACTTATTACATGCCCTCACTCACAGTGTAACCCTGACTGACAGGGACTATAACCACTTATTACACGCCCTCACAGTGTAACCCTGACTGACAGGGACTATAACCACTTATTACACGCCCTCACTCACAGTGTAACCCTGTCTGACAGGGACTATAACCACTTATTACACGCCCTCATTCACAGTGTAACCCTGTCTGACAGGGACTATAACCACTTATTACACGCCCTCACTCACAGTGTAACCCTGACTGACAGGGACTATAACCACTTATTACATGCCCTCACTCACGGTGTAACCCTGACTGACGGGGACTATAACCACTTATTACAGCCCTCACGAGTGTAACCCTGACTGACAGGGACTATAACCGCAATGCGCCCTCACTCACAGTGCTTAACCCTGACTGGCCTTAGGGACTATAACCACCAATTGCGCCCTCACACGGTGTAACCCTGACTGACAGGGACTATAACCACTTATTACATGCCCTCCACTCACAGTGTAACCCCTGACTGACTGACAGGGACTATAACCATATTACCTGCGCCCTCACGAACGGCCTGACTGACAGGGACTATAACCTCCACTTGACCTGCGCCCTCACTCACAGTGCGCCAACCCTGACTGACAGGGACTATAACCACTTATTACACGCCCTCACTCACAGTGTAACCCTGACTGACAGGGACTATAACCACTTATTACACGCCCTCACAGTGTAACCCTGACTGACAGGGACTATAACCACTTATTACACGCCCTCACTCACAGTGTAACCCTGTCTGACAGGGACTATAACCACTTATTACACGCCCTCACTCACAGTGTAACCCTGTCTGACAGGGACTATAACCACTTATTACACGCCCTCACTCACAGTGTAACCCTGACTGACAGGGACTATAACCACTTATTACACGCCCTCACTCACAGTGTAACCCTGACTGACAGGGACTATAACCACTTATTACACGCCCTCACTCACAGTGTAACCCTGACTGACAGGGACTATAACCACTTATTACATGCCCTCACTCACAGTGTAACCCTGACTGACAGGGACTATAACCACTTATTACACGCCCTCACAATGTAACCCTGACTGACAGGGACTATAACCACTTATTACACGCCCTCACTCACAGTGTAACCCTGACTGACAGGGACTATAACCACTTATTACACGCCCTCACTCACAGTGTAACCCTGTCTGACAGGGACTATAACCACTTATTACACGCCCTCACTCACAGTGTAACCCTGCCTGACAGGGACTATAACCACTTATTACACGCCCTCACTCACAGTGTAACCCTGACTGACAGGGACTATAACCACTTATTACACGCCCTCACTCACAGTGTAACCCTGACTGACAGGGACTATAACCACTTATTACACGCCCTCACTCACAGTGTAACCCTGACTGACAGGGACTATAACCACTTATTACACGCCCTCACTCACAGTGTAACCCTGTCTGACAGGGACTATAACCACTTATTACACGCCCTCACTCACAGTGTAACCCTGTCTGACAGGGACTATAACCACTTATTACACGCCCTCACTCACAGTGTAACCCTGACTGACAGGGACTATAACCACTTATTACATGCCCTCACTCACAGTGTAACCCTGGCTGACAGGGACTATAACCACTTATTACACGCCCTCACTCACAGTGTAACCCTGACTGACAGGGACTATAACCACTTATTACATGCCCTCACTCACAGT